CAAAAAAAAAAAAAAAAAAACAACCAAAACAACAACAACAAAAAAAAAGGGTGGGGGGCGTGGGGAGCGAGCATGCCAATTTTGGAGAATGGGTGTTAAAAGAAATGGAGGTATTTCCAACGTATAAGTGAAAAGGGATGTGAGTGTGAGGGGAATACTTGTTGATATATGTAATTGGGAAGCTAGCTGTTTATACATTATAGATAGCCTTATTGGCAAGTATTTCCCCCCTGCCCCCTACCCTCCCTTTCACTTGCTATTTGGAACTAAATCTGGTTTGTGATTTCTGCATTGGGAAGCGTGATGGAACTCACCAGAGAACCTGAAGGGCCAACATTAGCCCAGCGAAGTGGCCTGTCGAAACTCTCGTTCTTACTCCAGACGTCTGGCCCTGCACTTTACGCTTGGAGCATTGTCTGTCCTCTGTCACCCAGCTGTTTGTCTTTCCTCTTCAAAATGAAACTGCATTTAACAGTTTAGTTCTCAGGCTCTTAATTTCTTCTGCAGAAGGGCAGGAACAGAACAACTGTCCTGTGCAACTGCACATAGAGCTGTTCTCTCTTGCCTTTTTCCCAAAGAAAGTGGCTGATGAAAGGCAGTTGCTGCTGGTTCTTTTGCAGCTGCTCTTAGTCAGCGTGACTTTCTGCACTTTGTATCCTAGCACAGATCTCTGCATGCTGTGGGCCCTGTAACTCGCCAGCAAGAACTTCTGCTTTAATGCTATGCAGCAGCACTTGAGTACAGATAATTCTGCCTTGGCATAAATGCTGTGTTGTAATAGCATACATGACTTTAAACTTGGATTTCTTATGTATTAATCTTTTTTTTTTTTCCTCTCCTTATAGGTATCCTCTCACAAATTACACGTTTGGTACCAAGGAGCCCCTTTATGAGAAGGACAGCTCAGTGGCAGCTCGGTTTCAACGCATGAGGGAAGAGTTTGACAAGATTGGCATGAGGCGGACGGTGGAAGGGGTTCTGATTGTGCACGAGCATCGGCTGCCCCATGTCTTGTTACTGCAGCTGGGTACCACATTTTTCAAGCTGTAAGTGTCTGCTTCCTTGCTGCGACCTTTTAGTACAGGTTTAAGTGCAACTAGCTCTGTTAGACTATGAATGTTTAATTCATTTGTTACAAAGGCTTAGATGGGGAAAAATGTTTTGAATGGTGAGGTTTTCTTGGAAAAAAATTATCTGACTGCTTGTGTGGCAGAGTGACTTAGCTTTGAACAAGCTGGGAGTTAATTACAGTGCATCAGCATGTTAAGTTCCTATTTAAAACTCAGTAGTAGTTAGTATTTTATCCTCTGCATTGTGAAAACATTATTATGTTTAAATATACTTGTGCTGTGGGCACAAAAATGGCAAGGTGAAACTCAAGGCCAAAGCTGGGATGTGAATAGCTGAGGAATAGGGGCTATTTGGAAACTGCTGGGTGAGCTGTACTCATTGAAAACATACACATTGAATGTCTGAAGAAAATTTCTTCAGTTCATCTAATGTTTGTCCCTGTTGGAATGAAATTTTCAGGGTTGCTTTGCATATTTGCAGTAAAAGGAGGTGGTGCTTGTTTTAGTTTTCTTTCTAAATATATGGACTTGCCCCAGGCTATTCTGCTCATATTCTCTGTGTGATATTTTTTAATACTTTTTTCTTCTCCCCCTTCCCTCAAGCATGTGTTTGGAGAAAGCCGTTTTTTATATCCAGTTTCTTTTTTCCATCTTTCTTATTTGGTGAATGGGGAGGGAGCAGAAATAGTTTCGAGTCAAAAAGTGTTTCAAAAGTCTCTATTGAAGAGCCCTTCTGTTTTTTTTTTTTTTTTTTTTTTTTTTTTTTTTTAACACTTGCACAGTTCCCCCAAAAGTTTAATTTTCTGCTTTGAATGCTATTTTTGAGATTGAGACAGATACCGTCAACACCCACAACACTTCCACTCCTTTTTCCTTTTCTGGTATTTTTATGTTATTGTTAAAACTTTACCTTCTAAGCATCCCATTTATTGTCATGTGTATAGGATTTTTACATGTTTGTCTAGAAGGATGTGCAATAGCCATTTTGGTTGCAGTTTTGGTGAAGGCCATGTTACTCTGTATTTAAATCGAGCAAAATAATATTTGAGGCTTGAGGCCTTGAATGATTTTTTAACTACCTGGAAGCACATTCAAACTTGCCTATGAATGTCTGTAAATGTAGTAAGCATAGTTTTAGCTTTCATCATTGGTCATTGTCAATAATATATTGGTTATTTTAACAGACCTGGTGGTGAGCTCAATCCAGGGGAAGATGAGGTAGAAGGGCTCAAACGCTTAATGACAGAGGTCAGTTTTCTTATGTTGCTGTAGTAGAATGTCTGAGAACAGTGAATTATTCCAGAGTTAATGCAACAAGCTAAAGCATTAAAATAATTGTCTTACCACTTCCTGTTGTTTGTGATCTTTTTGTAAAGATGCTGCTGGTATTGGTAGTTCACTCAGTTTAACTGAATATAAGATAGAATTTGAAATGTTTTCTCATATCACTCTATAGAGAAGTAGTCTAACACTATGATAAAATTCGTTCTAACCTGACTCTGAAGAACATCAAACCCTAATTAAGCATCTCTTTGCGCTTCTAGTGTATGTTTTCTAAGAATATGGCATGGGATGTTTAAGAGTTTTGACTGTAACTGAATTTTTGATAGATACTGGGACGCCAAGATGGTGTTCAGCAAGACTGGGTAATTGATGACTGCATTGGTAACTGGTGGAGACCAAACTTTGAACCTCCACAGGTGAGTAACTGCAGTCTGTATTTATGCTGCTCAGAGTCCAATACTGCTTGTTCTTGCAGAAGCCTTCAGTTGGGTTGCTTGAGCATGCATGTGAGTGTTAGGTTTCCTGTTAGGTTTCAGCTGTCTCCTCTCCCCAGAAGAAATATTTTCTTCTGGAAACCCTTTTTTCCTCCTTGTGCCTCACCCAATAGACAAGTAACCACTGGATGTGGCAACTTCTGATCCTGTGCTGAGCTAGACACTATTTAAGCTCCTGTTTGAGCCACGATGAAACACGTGCCCTGGTACATCTGAAACAGGTGCCATGTAAAGAGAATCTTGCTACCCTAAATGCTTTGATATTGAAAATACTTGCTCAGTTTGCTGCCATGGGCTTCTGACTTGTTGGATTATTTTAAGAGATCTTGAGTAGTATCTCTTTAGATGGATCGTGTAAGCAGCCATGAAGGCAATGGTATTCTTTCTGAATCTGTTCTTCTGAAGGTTTTTCATTGTCTTATACCATGAAAGAACAACATATGATGTGTTGAATGCTCCCACACTGCTTCCTGATTATGGAGCAGCACTTAAGATTGCACAAGACTTTCAAAGATTTGTAAAAGTAAATTTGTTGTTTTTTTTTGTTTGTCTTTTTTTTTTTTTTTTTTTTTAATTCCAGTACCCCTATATCCCAGCTCATATTACAAAACCAAAAGAGCACAAAAAACTTTTCTTGGTGCAGCTTCAGGAAAAGGGTAAGTGTTTGCAACAGTGTTTGCACTTACAAAGCTTTAAATACTCTAATTTTTGCAAGATTTACATGTTTGCAGTTTTTTAATCATAAGTCTATTCTTTTTAAAAAATAATGTGTCAAAAATTTGAAGGTATGTGAGCTTTTTGAATGCAAATTCCTAGTATATTCCTATTCCTTGTGGTATCAAAATATGTACTATAAATGAAATAAAGCCACTCTTAACACTGCAGTGCTGTACGCAATGATCTTGTCTTTGGGTAAGGATGGGGAGTGATATCTTGGCTGAATGCTTGCTATTTTATCATTTAATATTGATCAGCTTGTTTGTTCTTAGCTTTGTTTGCAGTCCCCAAAAATTATAAGCTGGTAGCAGCACCATTGTTCGAGCTGTATGACAATGCACCAGGATATGGACCCATAATTTCCAGCCTTCCTCAGCTTCTGAGCAGGTATATTACAATTTACCTGCTTTACACTTCCTGAGGGCTCGGCCAGCAGAGCAAGGTGATACCTAGAGGCAGATGTTTATAGGTATCTCTGTGTTACAGCTTTCCTTCCTTTCCCCAGCAAGCCTGAAAATGGTCTGCAGAGCTGATTTGTCTTATTTCTGTTATATCAGCAAATGTCTGGGAATATCAGGCATGCTGCAGCTGGTACTTAGGGGAAGTAGTTATGTCACATACCTAATGTGGTGGGAAAATCTCTATTAGCTGAACGTTGGAATGGGTGTCAGCCACAACAAGCTTATAGCATGCAATGTTTGTGCTTTTAGTCCCAATTTTGGCAACCACTGCTATGGAGGCTTTTGTCCCTGCTCTATATAAAGGCAGCAGAGGTGCTCTTGTGATCCTGGCAGAATGCTGGCCAGTGTGATACCTCTGCAAGAGGTGCTCTGAAAGGAGGGATGTGTGGAAGTGGAGACAGGTGGTGGCTTTCACAGTGTAGCTCATGATAAATGCCTTTATTAGTGCTCTTCTGTCTGCTGTGAAACTTGGTTTACAAGAATAACTCTTCTGCTGAGTACATCCATCTGCTACTTCTGGGGTGTATAAGGTTGGCTCTGATGATGGAAATGCTGTGAGAGTTGCACAGAGGGTGCAGGTTGTGCCCTAGTATTTTCATATCTATGAAGCTTAGTAAAGGTCGCAGGAAAAGCTAATTCTTGATATTTTGCCTCTGGAGAGGCTGATGTGAAATGCTAGCTTAGCCTCCCTTCTTACAGATAAAACTTCCTGGTTACACCAAACTATCCTATTAAAAGTTTGTTTTCTTGATGAAACCCTATTAATTCAAAATGTTTCTTTTTTAATGAGGTGAGTTAGATTGCTCACTTGGTATAATCCTTTTAATTTCAGGTTCAACTTTATTTACAATTGACTTCCTCTACACCTGAACAGTGTGATACAAGAAGCCGTCTCTGTGAGCACAGCTTTAAAAAAAACGTGGAGAAAAGAATACATGTGACGCAAAGATTTTTTTTTTATGTCGTTCTTTTTTGCTGAAGGCCACTAAACTTTCTATTGTCTGGATAGAGAAGCGAACCCCGACCTTTTAGATAGTGGGATGGCAACGTGATATCAGTGTTTTAATCACTTTTCATTGTAAGACCCGATTTTTTTTGTACAACATTAAAACAAAATGGATCAGAGGCGGGTTGTTGTTTCCTGGTGTGCGGAAAAGCCCGTGCGCGGTGGGAGGGCCTGGGCAGGGCCCCGCCGCGGAGCGGGGAG